AGAACTCACCGGACGACCGGAGGTCGACTGCCGGGCCCAGCATCCTTCACAAGGTTGGTCATTTACACAATTTATCTTCTTTGTTCTTCTGACAGTGCTATATTAGCTCGCTGAAGAAAAAATGGGAGCCGATTTCCCGCTCTTAACGTAATTTATACGGACCGGGTGGGGCCCACACAGCAGGTGGGCGTGGACTAATTTTTTCAGTGCTTATGCTCTGCATAACGGGATAAACCCACTAAAGCGAAGGCCTTAAAGGGCGAAGCTTATACGACATAGAACTGATAAACACCAAATGAGATGTTTAGACTACAAATGTAGGCACGTAAAGAACCGGGACTCGAAATCACAGTTCAGTGACGATCACTATTCTATGATGTTTCACAATATTTGGAGTACAAAGACAATATTGTGATATATTTACAAAGCTAAGAACTTTTTCCAGCAGTATATAAAACTCAAAATGAGTTTTGGGGTGAATGTGACTGAAAATGATCATTAATATAACGTCACAAATGGTAAAAATGTTAACAGTTTACCATTGTACTGGGAAATTTAATTGAATAAATTACATTTTTTGTAAGGAAACCTCGCTTTTTCGTTGCTTAATCATAACAAATACTCTTACCAGCTTGTTAAAACAGTGCTATGTACTGCTTTTAATAATGAAATACTATTAATATTATGCAGTATTGAGTTAAGTTGAAATCAGGTCTCTCTTGTAAATGAGTCCTCGAGGCTCAATGGGATTTACCTGTCTAAATAAAGGTTGAATGAAAAAGTCATTTGTGCCAGCCCTCCACAATATTTGTTGTTTCTCATGTGGCCCCATGGAAAAAATAATTGCCCACCCCTGTTCTACACTGTCTGAGTCCGTGTTTGTTGATGTCTGTGACGCTGAAGGGAAAAAAAAAAAGACGTTCTCAAGAACCACGCTCTATGGAAGTTGTGTAGATGGATAAAGAGGAAAAACTGACAGTTGTTGGTGTGATTCCTAAAAGGTAAAATCTCACTGGGCTGCGATTGATGACAACTCATTGGAGAAATATGCTGGTGAAGATTCTCAGTCATCCAGGACATGATGAATTCAAAAAGCGTTCAATACAAAAACTGGACTTTATTTGTAACAGAAGACGTTTCGCTCCTCATCCAAGGAGCTTTCTCAATTCAAAGAGCAGAGAGTGAGAGATTCAGATTATAAGGCTGAGTGAGATAAGACACACACACACACACATACATAAGACACACACACATATGTAGATTGGCAGTTCACACCTAAACACCTTAACAGTAGGTCTTTGTTCCTCTAATTCACTGACGAGGCCCCTCTGTTCCCATCAGGTGTGAAAACCGGCTGGGAATCAGTCCTAAAGTTGCATTATAGGTGGAAAAAGTGGAGAAAGTGGAAATCTGAGGCCTCCTCCTCTGTTAAGAGACGGCTTTTCTCTTTTTACATAAATTGCTTCCTTCACCCCCCTCTCAAACCATCTGTGTTCTCGGTCCAAAATGTGCACATTTTGGTCCTCAAAAGAGTGTCCCATATCTGTGAGGTGGAGGTGAACTGCGGAATTTTGTCCAGAGGAGCTGGCTCTCCTGTGTTGAGCCATGCGTCTGTGAAGAGGCTGTTTAGTTTCTCCAATGTAGAGGTCTGGACAGTCCTCGCTGCACTGGACCGCATACACTACACCACTCTGTTTGTGTATGGGTGTTTTGTCCTTAGGGTGGACCAGCCTCTGTCTGAGAGTCCTGCTGGGTTTGAAATGTACTGGGATGTTGTGTTTGTTGAAGATCCTTCTGAATTTCTCTGATACTCCAGCAACATAAGGGATGACAATGTTTTTACGTCTGTTGTTCTCCTTTTTCTGTTTATTAGTGTGTTTTGTAGATTTCCTCGCTGACTTGACAAAAGCCCAGTTAGGATATCCACATGTTTGAAGAGCTTCTTGAATGTGTTTCTGTTCCTTTTCCTTCCCTTCTGTCTTCGTGGGGACGCGTTCAGCCCGATGTTGTAAAGTTCTGATGACAGAGAGTTTGTGTTCCAGTGGATGGTGGGAGTCAAACAGAAGATACTGGTCTGTGTGGGTTGGTTTTCTGTAAACTTCAATGTTGAGGCTGTCCTCTCTTTACATCTGAACCAAACAGTCCAAAAAAGGCAGTTTGTTGTCGTTTGCATCCTCTCTGGTGAACTTGATGTTGTTATCGACCGAGTTAATGTGTCTGGTGAACGCTTCTATTTCCTTAGCTTGGATTTTGACCCAGGTGTCATCCACATAATGGAACCAATGGCTTGGCATCGTTCCCTCATAGGAGTTTAGGACTCTGTTTCACTTCCTCCATGTAGAGATTGGCAACAATGGGTGACACTGGAGATCCCATGGCACAGCCGTGCTTCTGTCTGTAAAAACTGTCATTGAACTTGAAATAAGTGGTGGAGAGGCAGAGGTCCAACAGGATGCAGATCTGGTATGGGGTGAAGTTGGTCCTGTTGATTAAAGTCCTTGTCTTGTAGAAGTTGTTTTCTGACGGTTTCTACTGCTTCAGAGATGGGTATGCATGTGAAAAGAGAAGTCACATCATACGATACAAGGGTTTCTCCTGGGGTTAGTGTTGAACTTTGTTAGCAAAATCAATGGAGTTCTTTATGTGATGAGGTGTGTTTCCAACAAGAGGAGCTAAAATACCAGCCAGATGTTTAGCAATATTGTATGTCACTGAGTTCATGCTGCTGACGATGGGTCTGAGTGGTGTTCCTTCTTTGTGTATTTTTGGAAGTCCATAAAGACAGGGAGTGGCTTCCCCTGGGTACAATCTATAATACAAAGATCGATTGTTTGTTTTCTCCTTTTCAAGTTTTTGCAGGTAATCTGTGACTTTCTTTTTGTAGGCACTGGTTGGGTCCCTCTTCAGGGTCTCGTAGGTGTTGCGGTCGCTCAGTAGTGTCGTTATTTGAATCTCTCACTCTCTGCTCTTTGAATTGAGAAAGCTCCTCGGATGAGGAGCGAAACGTCTTCTGTTACAACTAAAGTCCAGTTGTTTTTGTATTGAACGCTTTTTGAATTCATTGGAGAAATGTATTCAGGAGATTTAATATTTGACCCTATATTCTTATAAATTTTTGTTGCTAATTACTCTCAAACAGACAGAGCCCGGTGACATGCCACCTTGTGTTGGACCCTTTGGAGCCACGATAAAACATTATCATCATACATTGAAGGTATTTTAAAAAGCCATCGCCGTACATCGAGAGCAAAGAACAACATGTTGGAAACGCTAGAGAAAGCAGATAAAAAAGCTCTAACGTGATGAACAGACAGCCATGACCACAGGATCTTATGCCCCTCTACTAAACATTTTGACTCCATGTTTTATTCATTTAGTGGTAAAAATTATGCCTGGATGTTTTGTAATGTAGTGCAGAGGAAATTTAAAAAAAAGAAGAAAGAAAAGGAGTAAGTACGCTCAGTCATCAAATCATTTTGTTTCTTTAAAAAGGTCAGAGATTCTATGCTCAGGATTTTATTTGAATGTATTAATAACTGTTTCTTTTGTAAATGCATCGCAACCCTCTGAATTGTAATCGAATCAGGTGCCTAAACATTCACACCCAATAATTTAATTTAAAATTTTACACTGCAGATTAAATCTTCAGAATAAGTCAGACGTTTTATGTATCTTGTATTTACAATGAAAAAAACAGCAGTTTGAACACCCATGTTTAGTTAAGTCTTATTTCAAGACATCACAAAAAAACGTTCTCATCCTCGCCTGTTTTTCAAAGTAGATAAACACAATCTTAGATAAAACGGAGTCCAGGACATTAACTTTGTTGTTGTTGTTGTGGCTTTTTTGACAAAAAAAACACTACAAGTAACAGCAGCGTGTGAACGAGGCCCTAAAGCAGAAAGACCTTCCCTGTTTTCTCTGGGCTCATTCGCTCATTTTATTCAAGAGGATCAAATCCTGATATATACAACCCTGAAAATAACAAGCGTGTATAATGCCATATATGCCCACTGACAAACTATTACACATCAATCTATACTAATGGACTGGACAAGCAAAGACTTTTGTTTAACTTTGATGCGTGTGTGTACAGTGGGGAGAACAAGTATTTGATACACTGTTGATTTTTCAGGTTTTCCCACTTGCAAAGCTTGTAGATGACTGTAATTTTTATCATAGGTACTCTTCAACTGTGAGTGATGGAATCTAAAACAAAAATCCAGAAAAATACAATGTATGATTTTTAAATAATTAATTTCCATTTTATTGTGTGAAATAAGTATTTGATACACCAGAAAAATGAAACTTAATATTTGGTACAGAAACCTTTGTTTGCAATTACAGAGATCAGACGTTTCCTGTAGTTCTTGACCAGGTTTGCACACACTGCAGCAGGGATTTTGGCCCACTCCTCCATACAGATCTCCTCCAGAGCCTTCAGGTTTCGGGGCTGTCGCTGGGCCACACGGACTTTAAGCTCCCTCCAAAGATTTTCTATGGGATTCAGGTCTGGAGACTGGCTAGGCCACTCCAGGACCTTAAGATGTTTCCTACGGAGCCACTCTTTAGTTTTTTTTGTTTTAGATTCCATCACTCACAGTTGAAGAGTACCTATGATAAAAATTACAGTCATCTACAAGCTTTGCAAGTGGGAAAACCTGAAAAATCAACAGTGTATCAAATACTTGTTCTCCCCACTGTACAAGTTGTTAAATAATCTTGAGCGGATCACAAGTTATGAGCGGGACGAGAAAGTTTGCGGCGTACGGACGGAGGCTAAAGAATTAAACATCTGCCTTTTGACGGGCGTATTAAAAATGTGTACTAATATAATATCATGACTGTATCTGAAACAGGCTTGGTTTAAAATCTACAACAAATGGTTGACTTCTACCATTTTTTAAAACTGAAGGGGGTTAACTTTGGGAAATGACAGGAAAAAACTAAACTTCCCATCATCTATCTACCCAGCAGGCGAATTAGATAAAATAACTCACATCATCGTCATCATCTGTCGACGCGTCGTCCTCATCGAGGTCTGCGTTGAGGTCTGCGTTACAGTCCGAGTTAAGGTCCACGTTGACGGAGAAGTTCTCTGTGTCGCTGCTTTTGAGACTTGGGTGCTGCATGGGGAAAAATGTTTGTCATTTTTTATTTTTTAAATCATTAAAAAAACATGCGTTTACTAAATATGATAAAATGAGAACACACCTGGGAGTCGGTGGTTTCATTCTGTAAAGTGATAAGGAATCGTTAGAAAGCAAACAAGAGGAAATCAAACATTTAGAGCAGCCGAGTTCATTACCTGGAAACTGGAGTTTTCATCGTACATTTCAGCGTCATCGTCGTCATCATAAGGACTCATAAACTTGCTCTCAGGGTTCTGGTGGAACCAACCAGAAGACAGGATGTAAAGGTAATAAAATCAAACGATACACGTTTGAAAACGAAGCAGCGAGCTCACCTTGCGAATGGGACATATGCATTTGCGTTTGCGGCAGATGCGCCTCCTGGCTTCGGGGCTCAGCAGCCCGTGTTTGCAGTTGGCACACTGCCCACAGTTGACAGAGTTGTGACATCCCACACACTGACCACAAGGAATCCACTACCAGGTCCACAAACACAAACACAGTTCATGTCATCATATCTGTGAGCTCGCTGCATTTCACAACACGGTGGGACAGTTTCACCACCGTCTTAATTTCAGATCTAAAGGCATGCTCAGGGCTCTGCAACCTTTAACGATCCAAAGAGCCGTTTCTGCCCCTTTGTTCACTAAATTAAACGTGTCCGGAGCCACAATACCAGTTAACTGGTGGCCCACAGACCACTTTAAGCTGGTTGGAGGGCGCTTTTCTGGACAGTAGGGGTGATTTTACAAAATTAAAAAATATCTAATGATTTTTAACATTAATTGATATTTTTACATTCTAAGACAAAAAAAGACCAGATTCTTGTAAAGAAGAAAAAAATAATAGTTTTTGCCCAGTTTCTAAAATCTAAAACAATAAACTATACATTCTTATGTGTTTTTTTTTATAGTAGAAAAAGTACGTATCCTACTTTGAAGAAATAAAGAGTAAAGTGCAAGTGAGTGCGTTTTACTCCTTATAATGTTTCTAGTATTCAAATATTTGCTAAATAAATGACAGGAAAACTGCTAAAGCTAGCCCTTTTTAGTTGTTGTTATAACAACAAATAAAATTCTGTTTCATGTCAGTTTTGGTCGAAGCTTGAAAGAGCCGCTGCAGAGGGACCAAAGAGCCGCATGTGGCTCCAGAGCCGCAGGTTGCAGACCCCTGGGCATGCTGAACGTTTGCATGAACTGACAGCTACATGTAGCTTAAAGCTGCAGCTTGTTGACAAATAATGTTTTACCTTTCTGAAACGGATCATCGGATGCACTTTTGCTTTTGACACCGCTGAGATAAAAATACAAAAACAAAGATTAAAAAGTAATGTTTCAAAATGCTTTGTATGTTTGTTCTTAATTTTTGTATGTCATATTCAGCTTGCTGAAACGTCAGAAGTGTCACTCATACCCCAGCAGGCAGGACAGCAGGGCCTCTTTCTTTGCTTGTCGTACCATGTACCGGTGAAAGAGTTGCCACACGTGGAACAGTCCCTGCAGAGGAACAAGGCCAACGTCAGCCTGTGTGGATTCAACAACTCACGACGAGCACGCCGAACTTTAATGTTAAATACGTGAATCGACAACGAGCTTACAGAATGCTGTCTTCTGATCCAAATTCTCCCATCACTGAAGGCAGCGAAAGCTGCCGAGTCGACGATGATGGTAGCCTGATCTTTTCCTCCGTTACTTCAGCTTCGTACCTTTGTTGAGGCGCTCCTGGTGGGTTGTTCAAGTGAACACTTGTCTGGTTCTGTTGGAGATTTTTGGGCCCGAGGTTTGGGGTGAGCCGGTGGTAGGAGTCAGGAGTCTCCGCCCCGTCTCCTCTCTCCATCCAACTGGACTCAGAGGAGGAGCGCTCCCGAAACTTTTTCTGAGGAATGAGAAGAACAACGTTAGTGTGGGAGAAAACACTAAATGTTCTGTTTTGTAAGTGATAACAGAGCTCAGAGTGTATCCCATCTGCTGTACACGTGACTAAATCTCTCCAGTGAAACTAGTATTTTTCCACTGGTAGCACTTGTGCTCCTCACGTTTTACATATTTTTCGTCTGAATTTTTTTTCATTGTTGTTTTTCTTCCAGGAAAGAGTTAAAACCAGAGTCAGAGATGGGGTCACACCTGGTTCTGACCCTCCAGACAGATATTTGTGTTTGAAATCTTATTGTGCTTCAACCTGGTCTAATGAGGAAAACTGATCCTAGAGGTATTTAATTTATTTATTTAACCAGAAAGTGCGGAGATTAACATCCTGTGTTTGAGGAGGATCTGTTCAAAATGATACACCAGCTACAGCATGACAACTAATGTTAAAATGTTAAATAAAACAGTCAGGATCAATATTAAACCAGTACAAAGCAGTTGCACTCTTCAGTTACAGACTTTACCAGACCTTTAAAGAAACAAAAGCATCAAGTCTGAGTGTGGACTGAAGATTCTTTCATGACCAAGGTGTAAAATAATCTAACGTTGTTTTGCCAAGCTGCCATCAAGATGAAGAGTTCTGGTTGTTAGAAATGCTGGACAGCCCAGATCTATCCCCGGCTCAAGCCGTGAGCTCACACCATCAGCATATGTTTGTCCCAAAGAGCGAGAGCCAACTGGGCACAAAACGTTTAACTGTGGTCGAGCCAGTCAACACTCAGCTAAAGTGTAGCTGCAGATGTTTGAGTTCAAGATAGGTGCTCTATGGGTGCCATAAAAGGACAAAAAGCACTATGAACCACTTTGAGGTCTTTTTTTTTGCACTAAGATAATACTAAATCACTTTATTGATCATTTTGGATTTTATTTTTTCTTCTTTCAGCTTCTCTCTTCTTCAGGGGTTCTCCACAGCGAAATAACTCACATGAAGATTGTTTTACACAGGATGTCCTTCCTGACGCAACCACAGACCACTGAGCTACCACAGCCCTCTGTGTGGAGCAGAGAGCTGCTATCTAGGACACCCGGAGGAGCAGATGGTGGGGGTTAAGGGCCTTGCTCAAGGGCCCAGAGTGGGGCAAATGAGGGTGGAGGCAGATGTGGGTGTTTCACCTTTCCCACCCACATTTTGATGTTGTCATCTGGTTATTTTGATGTGAGTTGAACCAGCAACCTTCCAATCACAGGCCCACCTTCTCTAATCTATGGGCCACCACTCCCCCTATTGATCACTTTGTATTTTAAAATAAAAGTCCACTTTTTATTTATAGCAACTCCAGCAGTGTTTTACTAAAATGTCTAAATATTTCATGTAAACGTCTGGCTCACATTAAAAGAAAAATACATTTGAATTCTAACATTATGGGAAAGTTAACTGCAGTTATGAAAAAGTGACAACATGTACGCTGAATGTCAGCACTGTGGTGTCATTTGTCTGTGTGTGTGTGTGTGTGTGTGTGTGTGTGTGTGTGTGTGTGTGTGT